TTGACGCCTCCGTGATGCGATTTGGGCGTCGACCTCCTGGGACTCCTTTCTAAGCTCCTTCACAACGGTCTATTGCGACGGGGGTCTCGTTAGTGTCACGTCCTGCTTTGGAGTTTGATGGGTTATCATTCTTACGGCGAGAGCCTCTGGGTTTACGCCATTCTCGATCATGGAGATGCAGATCGACAGGGTGCGGCGGTCCAGATGGCAGTTCTTTTTCACATGGTCCATGTTAGTACGGAGTATAAGGTCGCTGAGGTGAGATTTTGATAGGGTAGGGTAGGTGGGCGTCGCGACTGACGAGAATGGTAGAGATCTCATGCAAGATGTCAACGGCTTGCTGGGCCGCGGCCTGCTTCCCGGTTCGGTCGTCGGCAGGCATTTTCGTATGAGGGTGGAACTTATTGCTGGTTGCGAGATTGTATGAGTGAGATGGAGGTCATTGAATGCATTCAATGTCGCTTTGTTTGGCGGAGCGGGGCCAACCAACTTCAGTGGTACTGGTGCAGTGGTGCTTAAGTGTCTTAGCTGAATTGCTGCTCACAGGTGAAAAGAGAGAGTCGGCAGGGGCCGAAGTTGCCCACTGGGAAAACGCGTCTGAAGAGTGGCCCCGACGCGCCGGACGAACTAATGGCAGGGGTTGGCTGGGCTAAAGTGGGCAACTACCGGAAATGGGGCCCATCTTTTTTTGTGTGAAGCCGCGACTGACCGAACTTTTTCTCTTTCTTAGTCCATTCAGTCTTGAGTCGCTGTCTCACTTTTGCTTTTATCGTCATGACCTCGAATTTGCTGCAACAGTCAGCTCATGTTATCTGACGGCTGCGTTCTTTTTATGTGTTTCTATATCACTAGCTAGGCACTCTTTCCACGCATGACCACGAATCGTTCATAGCCCGCCAGGCTTCTCTCTCATCTTTCGCATGATGAAGCACACCCCACCGCTCTCTCACGACATGCCCAGTTTCCCACGAATACACTACTTAGACTTACGGGGAACGAACGGGTCTAATGGCTGACGCACGGGAAGAGACTAGCCGCTTATATGGCCCCCCGAAAATCACTATTGTCCCTCATGAAGGAATTGAAGATGGACCACCTCAACTGCATATGAGCCGGGTGCCAGGTCAAGGTGAGCGAGCGCATCGGCCGGGCTTGGGTTCTCCCATTTGCTAATCTCACAATAGCCCAAGCTCTTCAGATCATACAGTCTCCTGAGACCCTTTATCCTGCCTCTCGTTCTGCGGAACTGGCGCCATCATCAACAGTTTATGATTCCCAGCGAGTGCAAAGACGATGGCTGTTCAACGCTCACCCAGAGGCTTTCGTAGGCAGCTCCGAAGCAGCCAGCTTCCTGTCCGAAGGACTCGCTCAGCTCATGCGCCCCGATGCCGCGCCGACGACTCAGCCACTTATGACAATCAGTCAGATGGCGGATGTCACCAACCACACGCGGGTTGTCCCCGTCTCCGTATTGGCCACGGCTGCCGGCGAGTCGGGTGAGCTCCTCCGTCTGTCCAAGATTGATGAGACAAACTGGCAATGGGGCGAGAACGAGAGCCCTACGCTTCGGATGTTGAGCATCGACCAGCACGACAAGGAAGAATCTGTCTTGTGGTCGAGTGACGGAGCCCCGATTCTGCAGATCAAACCTGCGCTGAGCTTGGTCCGGTTCGAGCCGACGAGGTGGCTGCTGGTGCAGAAACGGACTACGACTGCCATCCTCCAGCCGGATTACCACAAGATCCCTGTCTCAGAACGCCCGCCGGGGATTGACCAGGCTATCGAGCGCCCATCTCGCATCAACCCGAGACCCGTCCTCACCATCTCCTCGGAGCAGACTGGCGGCTTTGCGCATTCTGATGTCTCTTTCAGCTACGGCTCGCAGAAGAAGCCGCCTCAGCTGGCCATCGTAGATGAGTGCGGCTACTACAGTGTCTGGGATGTCAAGGGCCGAGATATGGTGGGATCTAACGGCATGCGTCCGAAGCTCCGCCATTGCGGCCACATTCACTTGGGTGTTACGGAGCAGCTTCCCGACGAGGACTCGCCGGCTTTCCGCGCAGAGCCTCACGGCGTGATGTGGATCGGCGCGGCCGGCCCGGGTGTTGACCTCTGGGATGTGCCCGAAGGGCAAGATGTTGATGCAGGAAACGATCTGGCTGCCCTGACGTCGAGGTCCAAGAAACTCGTCGTCTGGAACCGCGCAAAATTTGAGGTCGTCGATATCAAAGACTCGACGTTTCGAAAGAGCTTGGTCATACTCAAGACGGACGAGCCAGACTACATCCTTGACGTAAAGCCAAACCCGTTGAACAGGAGTCAGATCTTCATCCTCACGAGCTCGGGTTTCTTTTGGATCGAGACGTCGTCTTCAGGGACGACAGCCAACAAGGCAGGCGGACTCTCTATTCTGCAGTCCTTTGCGCACCTCAGGGGCTTGGATGCCGACACTCTAAGGCTGACCGTCCATCACGGCGGCTCCGGGGCGGGAAATGAGAAATGCACGGTTTTTCTCTACTCTGACAAATCACCAGAGGTGGATGTCTACTGGTTCTACATGCCTGAAGACACGGGGCTGCCACAGTTTGAGCACCATATCATGAAGCTCACGGGCAACGCGACGAAGCTCCAGACTCTGTGTCCAGTGCCGGCTTTCCTGAGAAACCCCTCTCCTGCAACAGCCAAGGGCCCAGGCCTGGAGTATCTCAACCACGAGATCAGGTTCCAGCAGTTGTTCGTTCTAGGCAGGGACCTCAGCTTGAGCCAGAGCCTGTTCGCAATCTCGGCCGGTCCTGACTTCGAAGTGGTGGCCCCCGATAGCAGTCGTGAGTGGTCAAGAGATGGTCGTAGACAGGCGCACAATAAGAGGCGAAGACAGTTCCTGCAACATTTCGAGGACACTTTTGTCGTTCCCGATGGCCTGGGTGATATGGATGAGTTGGTGCAGCGTCGCGCCAATCGATACCAGGAGCTCATGGAGAGCGAGCGGGCGGGAGAGGAAGCACAGTTGAAGCAGCGGTGGCCTCGGGGTCTGAATCTGGACCAGTTCGTATCTCGCGTCAATGTTTCGATCGAGTCGGTCATCATGGCGTCGGAGCAAGCTACCATTGAGGGGCCTCTGTCTGTGTTCGAGGCCATACGGGAAGCGGCCGTCAACTGTCTCGAGACTGAGGGCGGTTATATCCCTTTGCATACTCTGTAAGTTTGAGTATCTCATTCATACACTTTATTCCATGTACTAATGGCTGCCAGGCACGAATACGAGAATACCTTTGAGGCACCCCCTATGTCCTACGAGGCAGTAGCAGCGTGGGACTCTCGCTTCCAGGAGATGATGAACGCGCAGACCGACCGCGTCATTGCGCAACCTCTCACAACGCAATTCCTACACGGCTTGGAAACCTTGTCACCCCTCGCAGACATCCGCGACCAGCTCGAGGAGATGTGGAGTCCAGCAGGCCTCCCGCCGAGAGCACAACAGTCACGCAACGTCGTACTAGCAGAGACGGCCGAAGCCATCGCTAGATCCCTCTTTGGTGTAGCCGTACTCGACGCGAACCTTCCAACCAGAGAAGACGATGCCCCTACTTGGGTTCCAGACCCTCCACCCTTACCAATCCGGCAGCCGAGCCAACGGTCAAGTCAGCGCTTCTCCTCGTCGACCGCAAAGCGAAGCCAACTCTCGTCAAGCCAGCGCCTCTCCCTCTCCCCGACCAAACTAAGCCAGCCCTTCAGCCAGAGAATCTCTCTATCACCAACCAAACGCGGCCAAGCTCTCAGCCACCGTCTCTCCTTCTCCCCTTCCAAAGGCGCCCGCTCCCAACAACCCTTCGACATACCCCTCTCATCCTCGATCCCCTTTCCCTCGTCAGGGTCCCTCTTCTCCCAGTCCTCCGCCGCCGCCCCTTCCTCCTCGGGCCTCCCGGACGCCGCACCACAAACACCCGCACCCACCACAATCGCAACCACAGCCCTCCAGCGCCTAAGCATGCTCGCCGAAGACATCAACACCACAGACCCCCAACCCGCCGCCCGCCAACACAAGGTCCTCGCCTATTGGCCCACCGCCCGCGGCGTCAGCACAGAAGGCTACGTCTCCTCCGTTCTTGCGTCTTCCACAAAACACATGGACGTCCTCAACGAGCGCCGCCACCGCGCCGAATCGCGCCGGCGGAAGCGCAGGTCGCAGTTCCTCGGCGCGTCGTCGCAGTCGCAACACGGGTGGGGGACCAGCGAGATGGACGACGTTTTCGAGTCATCTGGGCCTGGGCCTGGGCCCGGGCCCGCGACGAAGAAGGCGGCGGCGGCGAAAAGAGGTCCAGAGTTTGCGCCCCCGCCGGCAACGCAGCCTCTTCCCAAGCTCGCGCCGCCCATCATCGGCTCGAGCCAGCTTCCGCCCGTGCCGTCTTCGCAGGCTATTTTCTCGTCGCAGATGCCGGTCGTCATGTCGCAGCCCATGTCTGGGAGGCACGGGATGCGGTCGCCGGGGAAGAAAAAGAAGAGAAAGTCTGGTTTCTAAGGGGTGGAGTAACCTTGAGGGTCTGGGACATGGGAAAGAAGGTCTGCCTTGGGGTCACTGTTGTTTGAGATTATTATTGTCGTTTTGCCATCAAGCAATAGCTGTATCAGAGATAGATGATAATACGCCAATCATAATAAATGCACCTGAAATCCCAGACCTCAAACTTGCTCTTGTAAGGTGAGCAAACAGCACGAACGGGAGATTATTTCATTCCCGCAACATTAGCCCACCTTGATCATAAAAGAATGCCTCACACACTTTTCCAATCACTAGAAGACCCCGAGTCTTTACTGAACTCGTGATGTCGTGGTTTCCCTTGACGGCGCAGCAGCGGACCTCGACGTCGGAGGAAGGCGGGTTTAGAGCCAATCACGGAATCCGGCGCCGGAACCTTCTAGCTTGAAGTGGGGCCGTTTGCTCACTGCACTTCATCATTTGCAGGCATCATTAAGCAAACACAGAACGACTTACCTTTACTCACTTATCTTCGCATTTTTTGATACCCAAACGCGCCCTCACGGTAATACTTCACCGAGACCCCAACAGAGGAAGATCTTCACTCCGCTACGCATTCGACAATTGACCCAAAGTTATCTCACCCAAGAAAGAAGGACCCCTCACCAGCACCCAACAACCCCTTCAAAAAAACCCCCACCATCGTCACCACCAGTCAAGTCTCATCCGCAAATCACCAAGACCACCAAGGAACACCATAGCTCAAAATACACACAATGTCCCACTGCCACGACGAGCACCACGACCACGGCGGCCACGACGAGCACGACCACTCGGACGACATCACGCCCGCGCTGCAGCACTCGCTGTACGGCCACATCAACTTTGACGAGGTGACGGCCCTCAACGAAGCGCAGATTGGCAGCGCGCGGGCCGTCGTCAAGAAGACGTGGGCCGAGAGGCTCGACGCCGAGCCCGAGGTCGTGAGCGATGCCGATGAGCAGTTGTTGGTGAATGTTCCGTGAGTTTAACACCACACTTTTGATCTTTTTCTTCTTTTTCCGCGGGGGGGGTGGGGTTATGAAAAGACTTCAGACTGGACGTTGTTTTATTGAATGTCGTTTGGGTTCTGGTGGTTGTGAGAATTATGAAGTTGCTAAGCTTTTCAACTTGTGTTTTACTCATTCCGTCAATCTCATTCATGATATGTTCAAGGCCATGTATACACATACACATATCACCCCTGAACCATTATTTCTTCATTCTCAGACACCGCTAACACAAACCACCAAGCTTCACCGGCCAAGTCAAACTCCACGCCATCCTCCTCCGCACCTCAGACTCCCCTTCGGCGCCCCGCACCCTCAAAGTCTTCATCAACCGCGACGACCTCGACTTCTCCTCGGCGGAAGAAGCGTCGCCCACGCAGGAATTCGAGCTCTCCCGCACGGGACAGGTCCAAGAGATCCCCGTCAAGCGAAGCCTGTTTGGCCGCGTCCAGCGCCTGACGCTCTTCTTCGAGGACAATTTCGGTGACGGTGACGAGGACGAGACGAGGTTGTCCTACCTGGGGTTCAAGGGCGAGTGGATGCAGCTCGGACGAGCGCCGGCGAATATCCTGTACGAGGCGGCGGCGAACCCGAGTGATCATAAAGTCAAGGGGACGGGGATTAACGATGTCGGGAGCGGGATCGGGGGACGACAGTAGGAAAGTAACGAGTGACGACGGAGGTTGAGTTGAAGTGACTTTGTCATAGGTTAAGATGAGGCCAAAAGAAAAAGGAAAGGGGCATGTTTTCTGGTCCACAAAACGACACCCTAAATAGTATACCAATTGTCAAACACCATAACCTCACCGATGTCCCCTTCCAGCACCCAGAGAAGCAAAATTCTTCGCACCCAGCCTTCTTGCATCCGAGGACGAAAACCAAACAACCCCTCTCCCCCCCTCTCTTCAAGACCATCACCGCCTCCGCCTCACCATAGAAGCAACATCCCCATCCCCCTCCAAACTCTCATCCACAAACCCAAACCTCTCATACAGCGGCGCCCCGGCCTTACTAGCATCAACATACGCCGCGACCCCATCCTCATCCGCAAGCGCACACCCCCACGCAAGCAGCATTGACGCCGCGCCCCGGCGCTGGTAGTCGGGGTGCGTGACCAGCGTGTCGAGATCTGATTCCCGGATACCGAGTTAGCAAAACACAATTCTCACACATTCGAGTGAATCTCTGCCTCGGGGGAAATTCCCGGAAAAGCTACAGAGTGTTTTGGGAGAATTGTAGATGGATGTAGATCAAGGCGGGAGAAGCGAAACCCACAAACAGAAAAAAAACTAAAAAAAAAACTCACAATAATGCCTCTCCTCCCCCATAACCCGCCCCCTCTCCCCCTACTCCCTCTTAAAAAACAAATCACACACTTCGGAAGGCATATCCCCCGCCCAAGGGGGATACCGCCGACCCCTCTCGGCCGGCATACTCGTATCCCACTTGGCCCACGCCGCGATCCTCGGTCTGCCTCCTACTTCACCTCTCCCCCCTTCTTCACCTCCGGAAGCCGTCCCGCCCCTAGCGGCGCTGCTGCTCACATCAACAACCTCGACAAACCGCTGAAACGCCTTCTTCTCCCGCATATCCCCCCCATTCGCCTCATCCCACCACGCCCTCACGCCCGGCGTATCAGGCCACAGGCGACAAATCACCTCGTCGCCCTTGAACGCAGCAAATCACGTCTCCGTCAAGGCGGGGATATCGTCGAGTGTAGCTTCCTCCAATCTGAGGGTATTCTCCTTCTTCTTTTCCGTCATCGTCGTCGCCGCCGTCATTGTTTTTCTTTCCCTTTTGCCTTCTCTCGTCTGATTTGTTCCTTTCCGTTGCAAAAAAAAACTGTCCATGGTATGTTGGTTCTGGTTGGACGTTGTGATTTGAAAGGGGGTATTTCAACATTGTTCGACGCAACATACGGAGTATGATAAGAGAAAATAAGAGTGAAGATGCTTGCCAGGTAAACCCAGACGAATAGGCAGCAGAATTAAATGCGGGGTTCAATTCTTGTTGATCAGGGGCGGATAGGTAAGACGATCGAGACTTCAATGTGGTTCGTATTGGCCGCCTTAAGTCCCAAATCTCACTTTTCTATTCTCGTATTCCTAAACTGCTTATCAGTCTTGAATAACACTTTGAAGAACTATCTGATAAGTGGGTAATCTACAGGCACATCACATCCCATGCAAGCCAGACTTTTAACACATCCACGCGAGCGCGCCACAGTTTTTGGTCTATCCTCGTAGCATGATTGATTTCAATGATGCAGAAGTCGCTTGTAGTAGACACAATGTTTATGTACAGACACAATCCAATGAAAAAAGCTCCCGGTCAACTACAAAATACGCAAAAGTGCTCGCAAACGTTGGGTTCGGCGACCCTGACATCTCTGTTCTGAAACGCTTCTCTTAACCCAGCATGTCATCCTCGTTTTTTCCCCAGACCCGTCTCAAACGTTGAAAGGAAAAATCAACCCAGGCGCTCAACCGTTTCTTTACTATCCAGTCCGAGAGGCCTGCGACACCGAGGAGAAAGTTGCCGCCGTCTATATGCAAAAAACCGTCTAAACGTGTTGATTCTCTTGTGCGCCGATCCCGTCTCAATCATCCTGGTTACCCAGGGGAGCGTATCTACCGCTGCCGCTGCTGCTCTGGTCTCGTGTGCGACCGACAACTCTCGAGACCCATCCGCTAATGGTGCTGCTGGCCTCACCATCCTGGCCCTTGCCGTCGGGAATGTCGGGAGGGTCGAGAGACAGGCCAGGAATGGCGCTGTTGGCAGTAAAGTTGCCGGGCCGTCCCCGGTATTCGGATCCAATGGGCGATCCGGGCATGAGGGAGTCGTTCTCGCGGCCATGCAGAGATGGCGTCCCGATGACAGTGCTGGCGTCGCCAAAGAGCGAATCCATCTCCTCCAAGCGAACACCACAGGTTTCGGGGTAAATGAAGTACACTGCATAGGTTTATTAGCAATCAAAGTCCAGTCCGGGTACGAAGAGAAGGCAACTCACCAACGATGAAACTGACTGCACAGAAGAAGGCGTGCACCAGATACAACCGCCACTTGATCCACTCCTGCAGCAGAGGCGTCATTTCTCCGACAAGCCAGTTGAATGCCCAATTGGTTGCCGTCGACAAACTGGCACCCTTGGAACGAATGTTCAGGGGCAAGATCTCCGGAGGGTAGAGCCAAGGGATCGGGCCCCATGAGTATCCAAACGCCGCGTTGTAGATCATGACAAAGATGACGACCAGGGTGGGTGTGTACGTGATGTCGAGGTAGAGCCAGTACGAGATCATTGACAGCGAGACACACATGACAATGGCACCGCTCAGCAGGATTGGTCGGCGACCCCATCTGTCAACCAGGTACCACGGGGGGATGGTTGAGAGAAGGTAGGTAATACCGTTCACGCCAGCCATGAGGACGGCATCGTGACCAACCCAGCCTGCTTGTTCGAAAACGTACGGAGCGTAGTAGCTGATGACGTTGATACCATTGAGCTGAGCGAGACCCTGGGCCGACATTGCAATGAAGACACGGGTGCTGTACTTGCGGAACATCTCGGCGTATGTCCTCTCGCCCTCCTGGCGCTGGAGAAGTACGTTCATCTTAATTTCGCGGTACTCGTCTCGTGCCTTTTGGTTGTGGATATCACCCTTGCCGTAGAGGTTGGCAATGACAACGATACCCTCTTCGTCGTGGTCGTTGTCAAGGAGCCATCTGGTCACAAGTCAGGAAATCGCATACAAAAATATTCACGACACGCAGGAGACCAACCTTGGAGACTCCACAATGACCAAGCTTCCGAAGCCGAGAAGGGCTCCCATCACGCACTGCATCAGGAGAGGAATACGCCATGACATGTCACTTTCGATGAACCCGCAGAAGTAGTCAACCCAAACGGATGTAGTGTACCCGATGATGTTGCCGGAGAACTCAATGCAGGCAAGCTTTCCACGGTTGTGGGGGGGAGAGATCTCAGACTGGTAGACTGGGACGATGGTGGACAGAGCACCAACGCCCAGACCAGCAATGATTCTGCCCAACATCATCATGGGCATGCCGTTGGCCAATGTCTGCAAGGCACCACCAACGAAGAAGATCATGGAGCCATATAGAATAGTCTTGCGTCGGCCGATGATATCGCCAACCTTGCCAACGACCAGAGATGAGATAAAGGCACCAACTTCGAGGATAGCAACCATGGTACCAATCTCGGCCGACGAAGGCTGATGAAAGTAGTTACGGAAGTATACACCCCTGTGGAGCCCATCAATTAGCTGCGGCGATCAAAAAGGTGAGCAGACGGCAGGGCAGTGGACGTACGTGATAATGCCTGACATGACACCCTGATCATAGCCGAATAGGAAGACTCCCAAGGAGACGAAAATACTCGTGAAATAGCTGTTGGGCGCGTTGTCAGTCAAATGGAAGTCGCGATAAGGGTGTTTCGGAAGAGCAGGACGCACATCAGGGCCTTGCCAGTGAGGCCGTGAACAGAGGAACCGCCGGGCATGATGGCGCCGATGACTCGCTGCGCGCGGGTCGGACGAGGTTGGGCGATGTCGGGAACCTCGATTGCCTCCTTATTAACACCTCCACGACGGCTCTGTAAGGTGTCGCGACGGCTGGGAGACTCTTGTATGCGAACACGCTTCTTCTTGGAAGACTTGTGGGAGGGATGCCTCTTGTGAACGCCGGCTAGCAGCTCGTCATCAACGTCGCTGGGCAGCTGGGTGCGAAGGGGGTCTTCGTCGTCGATAAGGTCGGCGATGTCCCCAGTGTCGGTCCAGGAATCGGACTCGGAACCGAGAGAGTCCTCTGATGACGGGTGGCCGTGGTGATTGTGTTTGTCGTTGTCAAAGTTGTGGTGTTGACGGTGGGAGGAAGAGGATGTGTGGTGGTTGTGATCACGGTCACGGGGGTTGTGGTTGTCGTTGTCGTCGGGATCAGATGCTAGCAATGACGTCGCTTGTTCTTGCTGGTCTGGATGTGGCCGGGACTGTAGGGTCCGCAGTGGGATATTGGACGGGAGACGTCTACCGTTTGAAGAGGGAATCTTGGGCGGTTATGGGGCTGATTAGCGACAGCACCCTTCCGCTCTAAGAGGAATTGAAAAGGTTGGGGGGGGGGGTGGAAGTGAAAAGAATGTCTAAAAGACGACAACTGGCGGGCAGCGAGTCGAGTCGAGTCGGGTCGAAAGGTGACGGACGGATCGAATTGGTACTGGTGCTTTGGTGCGTGTTACTGGGCGCGGCGAGCAGGCCGAATCGGCATGTGTACTCTGTAAGGTGAGGTGAGGTAGCGTTGGATGACAGGCCAATCCACTCCCTGGTGCACCTCAGTGAGAAGAGACTGGTGGGACTGGGAAGGGGTAGCTATGCGGACGGGCGGGCTGACCGTGGGACCGCTGGACAGGTAGCTTCTCTGGCTGGCGCAGGTGCAGGTTGCTTGAGTGTGTGGTGGTCCCAATGTTGGATTTTGGGGAACCTGGGAAAAAGGGATTGGGGAGCAAACCGAGGCCTGCTATTGGTGCTGCTGTTACTGCTGGGGGGATGGGATTGGGCTGGAAAGGAAGGGGCGGGGGGGGATACCAGGCCAAGGCAAGCCGCAAGTGCCAGGCAGACAGGCTGGCAGGCGCGAGGCGAGACGAAGGGACAGGAAAATGGCTGGAGGGAGTGACTGAGAAACTGCAAGAGACAGGCGGCGCGAGTCCGGTACGGCAGCCTTGGTTGGGGCCTTTCCAAGAGTGGATGCCGTCGATGCAACCTGCTGCACAGTGACACACGGTCTTTCCAGGAAGCCTGTGAACTTGAGAAGACCAAGGAAACCCGATTGCTGGGGGGTGGGGGTCCACTTTCTTTCGGTTGTAGGTAGGTAGCTTGTGCGCTGAGCAGCAAATTGTGGATCACCGCCGACCGGTGCAAATAGCTGAGGACGGTAAAGTACCTTACTCTGTACTATCCTGATAGTAGGATTCAATTCCAGAGATCAGATTCCAGTCTCTGCCTTCTTCTCTTCCTCTTCTCGTTCAATGTCAATGTCTCTCAATACTTTCGAAAAGAGCGAGGGGACAAGATACAATGGAAGGACGGGATTGAAGTCCAGGAATCCTGGCTTGGGGCAAGTGCCTTCCTGCGATAGGTAGGTGCCGATGAGAAGCAGATGACCAGCCAGATGGGAGCCAACCTTGTTCCTTCAGGCTTCCCGTATCCTTTCGGTACAGGGTGCAGCTGGCCAAGGGGGCGAAAAGACGACAGGCCGTACGCAGTAGCGCACGAGTCCACCTGAATGATGCTTCTACGCAACGGTGCAGCAAAGGCGATGCCGCGATGGGGAAAACGGGATGCAGAGAGGCAGAGAGGCAGAGAGAGCTTTGCAAAGTCCACGCCGTTGTCCGATTTTCTCCTAGGGTATGGATAGCGCCTAACGGGTTTGAGGCAGTTTGCCCAGTAGCGCAGATCTATCTGACCCTTTGCGGCCTGCCTTGGCACAGAGTCCCGTCGATACAGCACGCAGCAGTACCGAGCAGATAGATGAATTGATTGAAGGGGGCTGGGAATGCGCGAACCAGTGCCGATGACGAAGTCGATGAAGAATGTGGGATTGGTTTGCTGCTAAGGCGGCTACCCGCTTGGACGGTACGATACGGTAGGTAGGTATGCTAGGTAAGGTACCTCAAGAACCAGGGACAGAAGAGTAGAAAGAGCAGATGAAAATGGCAAGCATAAAGCGAGAGGGTCAACAATCGGTCATGCGGCCGAGTATCAAGTCGAGTCGTGGGTTGTGTCTTGCTTGTGTCGAACAAAAGGAGTGTGTCAGGTGGTCTGGGTGAAGTATCTGTGCCGGGTTGCGAAGGCTCAGGTCGAGGATGGGTTGGAGGTTGAATGAAAGGTGGTTGAGCTTGTGAGCCTCCTTTGGGGGAACGCGTAGGACACCTTGGACAGGACGGGCACAAGACCTCCTTTTCTTCCGGCTGGACGGGCCAGCAAGAGACAGATTTCTGTCCTCAGTCCTGCCGCCCCTGAAATGAGGATTATCCGGCTCTGGCGCAGGGGTTCTGGGAGCCAAGGGAAGGGCATCTAGGAACTCTACGGACGGGACGGGCTGTCCAATGCGATTGCCAGATGGACAGATTACACAAATTACCTCCTTCTCACTTCTCACTGCTCAGAGGCTGAGGAAGCCACTATGGATCTATGGATCTCTGGTCCTGCCGCGTCGTATGCGTATGAAAAACTATGGGAACTGAGGGAGGCTCAGAGAAATTGAGGGACCACTCAACCCCAGACCTGAACCTTCCCTCACTGGAGATTCTATTTCTAATTCCGCCATCCGGCCCCACGTCTTGCAGACACAACTTCACACAATCCGTCCTCGGCCGCGTTATCCATCCCATACTATGACACTACACGCTCGGCACGCTGCTCTTGGCCCTATCAATTAAGGCAATTTACGTATTCTCTTACATTTGTTATCCTCAACGTGAGTCCAGTCCGATACCTATCTACTTCCTTGACTTCGAATGAATGACCACGCACGTGAAACCGTTTGCTGACTCGATTTGTGGGCCAGTCCCTTGGTCTCGAGGGAAGGGATCATCGGCGTGTCGTCGGGCTTCCGGACCATACGAGACCGCCCCCAAATCTTGCCTTTTGCAACCAATCCCGTATGCCGACAGACGACAGCCGTGCTGGGTGATCACTGTTGCATCCGTCGAATTGAGGCCCGTCTACGGCCACAGAGTCCACAGAGTGCAGACCACAGAGTATCAATCGGGAATATCCTTTCCATGAGGCTTTTCTGCCGTTGACGATCGTCCCGGCCCCGGTCCAACTGTCCGCCGGTGCGGTTCGCACACCCTCATGGATCTGGGCTGTCGTGCCTTTTTCGTTCCCGGGCGCTATGCCGCTGCCGTGTTCCAGCACAGGCGTTTCGCAATGTGCATCTAACGGTTCCGTGAGGGTACACGGCCCCGTTTTTGACGACGATGCCGAAAACCGTCACAGGCAAAGGGGCTCCACAACGGTGCTTTCCCTTTGAGCCTACGGCTACGAAGTACGTATACCGCACCTGCCCTTCGCTGCAATCAAAACATCGACGTCATTTCTTCAGGACCCATTCGAGATGCAATAGGGTTCATCCTGCCACCACCGCCTTTACCCCAGACAATGCAACCACAAACCCTCTGCGCAACGTGCACGCCGTGACAACCCTCGCTAACCTCGGATCTGGGCAAATGCCCCCCCCAAAAAAAGAATTCAGATTCCGGGTCGCACTGGGACATGCTCCAACCTTTTTGTGGCCACCTGACACATTGTTGCATGGACTGATCGACGAGTCAAAAGTCGCAGGCACGCACGCACGCGACAGCAGACAACAATGCAGGTCTATTCCACGACCGCTCGACCGACGATACTGGCACTGTCTTGAGAAAGACCCTGAAAAACGAACAACTTCCAGGTTTAGGCCACTGTCCTGCCCTCCACTTAGTGAACACTGCAGGTCCACATAGGTCCCGAGAACCAAAGCTGCCACGCTGCGTCCATGGCTCACGACACGAAGGGCCTCGTTTTCCGCTGATCCATCTTCATGCTTGGAAGTCTGCATTGGAAGAGCGGGGATGATTCCTTTCTTTCACGGTTACCCAACCCCCCCAGTCCACTCCCCCGCGCCTGGGTCTCTCACGAGTCGCGCCCGATCAAGACCCCAAGACCCCAAGACCCCGAGACCCTTTACATGGCGGAGGAGGGGAAGCAACTTGAATCGTTGACTAAGACACTGGAGAAATAACCGTTCGATTCCCGCCGAAAGTGCAGGTAGTTTGTAATGTGGGCGACGTGGGGGAACAGTGACATGAGACTTTGGACGTGTGAATATAGCTTGTTAGTCAACTTGCTGTATGAGTACATACTACAACAGATGATTCTGCATACCCAGTACCAATACAACTGTAGAGATGGTTTCCGCGAAAAGTAGGTAGACTGCAATTTCCACGTCAATTAAGTTATGCTACTCCGTACATGTACAACTGTTCTTCCGTTGGCAACATAACGTACCTTAAGCAGGGCCATACCTGGGATACAACAAACGCTCGTTGCTTCCCACTTACTTACTATCAACACCCTACTGTGACTGTAGTACCAGATCAACAAGAAAAAACCAAGAAGCGTATTCCCAAAAAGACCACAGTGATCTTCTCACCGCAATTTGAAAGCATGTTTAGAAAGATATCACATGTGGGTCCGGTAGGCCGGGGTTGGAGCCTGCCCATGGAAGATCAAGAACCGGCAAAGTGGAGACGCATCGTGAGATTGTTCGTGGTGGGGCGCCAAACCACGACCACAAGTTCACGTTCACGACACCATAGATTGTCTTCAGTCGTAGTGCCACGTGTGGCTTTGTCCATTACTGCCATCCAATACCGCTTGCCCCGGGACGATGGCGGGTATATATATACGACCCCCTTCGTAAAGAGATATTCGCAAAGGGTGATCTATTCTACGTCCTTATGTTGCCCAGAATAAGTAGAAGATCAAAGAGGGACAATCTCACTTGAAGGAATCAAGCCACTCCTTACGATATACGTATTCCATTCAATTTCGTTTTGTGATACCTTCGTTTTGTGATCCGTTAGAGTGTTTGGGCTTATGTCTTGAAACTACCGACTACAAGCCAAAATAGTCATCAACACCACGCATGTGAGTTCGTGGATACGAGATGTTCCTATCGCAATAGAAGTAAAACAAGGGATGGATTCAGTCAACAGCGCCCAGGCCAATGGCTCAGTTGTATATCATCTAATAAGCTGGCCCCTTCTGACCAGATCCCCTTTTCCTTCTTCGCACAGAACTAGAACCACGAGATTGCGCTTCCTGGTCATCCTCGTGGTCCCGCTGAGCAACGCTTACCCATCTATGATACCTGTACCAATAGTTCTCCATCGCTAAAGCACGACACAACGTTCACTTTCATACTTCATCGACGGACGTGTCTTTATCAAGTCTTTCGACAAATGACCAACCTCCGTCGGCTCTAATCTCCGCCCGCTCCTGGGTTCAACTCCAATTCTCGCTTTGACATTGCCAGGCACCTTGCTCAATGATGAATCGACGCTCTTCTCGGCAAGCTCAACTCTCGCCGTGTTCTTCATCATCTTCGCACTAGGGCTGGGCGGGACACCGCTTGATTTGGATGCCGTCTTTCTCCTTCGCCGTGTTTTCATCTTATAAGTTGCCCAAAGTCTCCAACCGCCTTCTTCCTGAAAATGGCACTCCAATAGTTCAGGTCCTCGAGGTCATGAAGAAGCTGCAATTTGAGTAAGAAAAAGAGATGGCAGAGAGTGGTGGCAATTATCGCGTCTTTGTTGTCCATGTCGTACCGTTCCGTGAATACGCCCTCTTCGCGATATATCTGCGCCTGGGGCGTATTGGATCGGTACAATATACGTGCTTCCTATATAATGCAGTCTATGTTTATGATTAACATGGAAGTAATTGTAAAAAATTAATTTTTAAAAAAGCGTTTATCACGGAGATGGCACAAACCATCTCAAACTTCCTGAACTTTTCTTTAGCCATGGTAACTTCTGTGCCGGGAGATGGAACCAAAGACCAAGAAACATACAGAATATTCCCCAAGAACATCAGCGTGATCTGCCCACCGCAATTATAAAGATTGTTTAAAAAGCAATTACATGAGGTCGTAAGGGCCGGGGGTTGGAGCTCAAGCAGCAAAGTGGGGAATCATCGTGAGATTGCACATGGTGGAGCACAACCTCAAAAACACCACCAAAATTCAACCAAAAAACATACAACACCAGGTATTCGCTGGTCGTCACCGACCCAACTACTAATCCGGCCCTCATTGGCTTGTCTATGGGAGAGCGGACGGGATCCCGAATTTTCCAATGGGTATGGTCGTATGTGATGGTTTGATGAGAGTGAGCTGCTCATGTTTGGAGGGATGGCGAGGGAGTGGTGTCTTGAGGGAGATTTAGGTGGCTGTGAACAACTCAAGATGGGCTTTATAAGCGTTTAAATGTTTGACTAATGTAGCCAACGCTGGAAATCGCCTGGTTCTTGTAACATATCCGGCTCTGGCTTCCTGACTTACGCTCTCTCTGAACCTTCATATATTCCCCATTAGAGAGTTCAAGAAGACTGATCAGAAATACTTTGCCTTTGTAAACGGCTTTTGTTCGAACTACCTCAATCTACCTTGTGAAGACTGAGATACTATATTGTTACTTTCTAGAAATGCATGGCCAGCAACTTCGCTTACCAAATAGGCAAGACTCAGGTGCTGGGAGACTGCGGTTTACCAGCCTTTCGGTCGTAGCCCAAGGCTTCGGGCACACTAGATCTATGTAGAAATTTGAATTTCAGAGCTATCAGCCATTTTCAACGGATCAAAAAGGTGGTAGAAATTACAAGTGTGGCTCAGGCCTTCAGCTCAGCGTGGGTGATATGGGTGAGCGTGACGTTGTACTCATATCAAGTCTTCGGCTCTTAAAGACCATAAGTTCTACAACTGTGCACAACCATGTAACAAAATCTGAATTCAACTAGAGGACGCAACTCCTAGGAGGAAAGAAAAGGTCCAGCTTGTAAGTCCCACACTTTGTCGAACTGTCTCTCTAACAAGCTCATGCTTACAGTCAAGCATCGTATATTAACGAAGTCAAGAGCCACCTCACCTTAACAGCATCACTCGAATTATTTATAATTGCAATATAATTGTCGTGTAAAGGAATGCACGAGTCTTTTGAGTGTCTACAATTGTCATGTGTTGAAATGGCCAATACCTTTATCTTTCTTATCTTGGTCGGAGGCGGTTCCGCACTACGGCACCAGACCGTTCCGTCCAAGTTCCGAGAGAGCGGGGAACCCGATAACACAAGCCGGCAACCAACATCACTCCAGGATAGACTGGAACAATTAACCAAGGTTCGATTTGAGATGTAAGGTTGTTTGAATAACGATGAACCAATCCGTTCGGAATAAGAAAGAAAAGTCTAGAAGTGAGTAATCACCCGCGCCCTCTTACACCGACTGTGATGGTCCCCCAACTAACAAACTACCGCGCTTCTATCAGGTGGTTATCTCGTGTGTAAGCGACGGGTGAGTTCGATTATGAGCTGGCATTTCCATCGAAAGCTCTAGAAAGCCAATTCTAATGTGGAGTTGTAAATGAAAGCGAGTCAAGTGCGACGAGCAAGAGCCGAGCTGTCAGAGATGTATCAAGATTGGGACCGAGTGCCCCGGTTACAAGCGACCTGTGAAATGGTCCACCAAGTATGAGAAGACCAGCGTCTCTGAGCACACCCCGATCAAGCCTTGCAGCCGCACTCCGACCAGGTCGGTTCCAAGTGTCCAGAGACTCTCTAAGAATGCAGAGCATCCAACCTCGCTAGTATCTGAACATCTTCAAGGCGTGCCTCGTCCCGCTGAGACTGGAGACCTCGACACAGTCATGGTACCGGGCGCTTTGAAGGGCATCGGAACGATCACGCCATTCAGGACTATTCGGGAGAGGTATCGGCGCTATTGCATTATTACTTTTCTACAGTCTGCCATGTGCTTTCCTCGTTCGATTCGCTACACAACCCGTTCCGCTCGGAGGTGCCCAGGTTATTCAACCAGTCACCATTGCTGCTCTACTGCGTGTTGAGCATGTCCGCCGCACACCTCTATCCGAACGAAGAGTCAAAGGTTGTTGACGTTCCGTTACAACTCCAGACCAAGGCCATTTCATATTTAGCTGGACAGCTACCCACGCCACCACATACAAATGGCTTAGAAGTGTCCATCTATCGTGCGCCAAAAGTAGACAAAGTAGTCGGAGCTGATATCAAAGATGATGTGCTTCTGGGAACCATTATACTGGGAATGATATCGGTATGTTTCTCACACTCCCTAGCTTCATTTCATTTCCCCGCGGCCTATGAATTAATGGAGTTACAATAGGCCTGGCACGACGTATCCTCCACGGGGTTAATGCATCTCCGCGGATCAAGGGAACTCTTCAAAGCCTGGATGTCATCCAGCCATCTGGACACCACCACACAGAGATTGATGAGCGGGACGCAAAACTTTGTGGTCTCGTCAATGGTGTACTGGGAAGCCATGAGCTCCTTCATCACAGATCAAGACCCCAACGCTCTGTCCTATCCGGACGCATTCTGCCACCACCATCCGCCACGTTCTCTACAGACGCGCCCGTGTCCCTGGACTGGCGTGGAGACAGTCACATTCATATACCTGGCGAAAACGGCGACACTGGTGAGGAGGCTTAGAGCTCTGGGTCGTTTGGGCCTGTGCGGAAGGGGTGAAGATGTTCGGAATACGTCGTACTCGGATCTTTTACAACGAGCCGTGAATTTGAAAGAAGAGATCTCGATGCTCGAAACCCCAGATGTGGGCTCAGTCACGGACAGCGGGGATATCTTTACGCCTCCAGGCCATCTCATCACGATGGAGCAATGTTACCGAATGGCGGCTCTGCTTGAGTTGTACAGGGCATTTCCCGAGCTTTCGGAAACACAACTTTCTCGGGGCTACGCTGGGCTTGATGCAGTTGCAAAGGCGGGTGGGCAAGTGGAAGGAATTTCCAATCTTGCTTTGACAATTCTCCGGACCATGGAAGAGATACCCGTCACCTCTGGTACCGTTTCGACGCAACTACTACCTCTCATCATCGCCGGGAGCGTTCTCGGCCCGGAATCGGGAGAGGATACTACAAGTGAAGGATTTGAGTTCATGTGCACTGCGGGAACTGCGGCAGAGGTTGCAGGATGGAGGGATTTTGTTCGAATGCGCACCCGTTGGCTTTACCAACTGATTCGACTGAAGCCTGTGAGGCACGGGTTGCTCATATTGGAAGAAGTTTGGGCGTGCTTGGATGAAACAAATGACGCGAATCGCGCTGATGATACCAAACCGGACAACAAAAGTTGCCATTGGATTGATGCCATGGAGGAAAAGGGACTAGAGACAATGCTGGGTTAAAGCTACAGCAAGCATGGCACGATTAAGACTTGGGGACACACAGACTTTACCAGACATTGGTGTCAAAAGGAGCAGAGTGAGCAGAGAATCACTCAACGAGGGTCATTCAAAAAAGAATCAGGGCTATCAGCGAGTTCGGAGAACTCGGCAGATAGATGCCCATCCGCGTACGCGCTTCAGGATGTGGTAGCACACCTCGCACTTTTTGTCCCAATTAGGAAATATGTGTCCCCACTCGTAGTCGACGATGATAACAGAGACAGGCGTGGTGAACATGGACATAAATAGACTCTGTTTTTCCAGAAGGCTTTGGGCATTAGTTTTACTTCTTTTCACTCTCTGCTCCGAGAATTCTTTGTTGGAGTTTGTCGCAGGTTTGATATTTGCTTCGAAACCCCGGCGTACTTCTTACACACCATCATCATGCCTTCAACTCGAGACGGCTACCTCTATGGCTACCTCTGGACTCCGTCCGGAGGTAAACGATCGGTCTGTCCACGAAGGCCGTAATTGATTCTACCCCAGAGTCTCTCATCACCAAAACGTACGACGTAGTCGTGGTTGGAAGTGGCTTCGCCGGCCTCATTGCCGCGCGCAATCTCAGCCATGACTCTGGCGTCCGAGTTCTTCTCTTGGAAGGCCGAGATCGTATAGGAGGGAGAACATGGACGGCAAATGCGCTAGGCCAAGATTTTGAGATGGGTGGGACTTGGGTACACTGGAAAGTCTTCTCAACGTTTTTGCCAAATATGACGAAGGCCAACTAACTAGAGCGTCGCAGGCACCAACCCCACGTCTTTACAGAAATCCATCGATACAGATTGCAGTCCAACCTGAAGACGTCTTCGGGGACAGCTGCCGTGGAGAACACGCTCTACACACCCAAAGATTCGAAGCCTGGGCTGGTCGATACATTCGCTACCAACACAGCTGTCCAAAATGTCGCGGATGCCTTCTTCTCAATTGACGGTCTATCCAGCCGCGAATTGATGCCGTATCCCCATGACCCATTCCGCCTACCTGCGGCTTGGATAAAGTACGATCATCTCTCCGCCAAGGATCGCCTCGATCAGCTCCTCGACATCAGCCAGCATGACAAGGACGTATTTGACGCCATGATCAGCTCCTTCGGCGCGGTCCCCAGCAGCGAGTGCGGTTTCACCGAAGTTCTCCGCTGGTATGCCCTGGGAGGCCACTCCATGGCGGGAACCTTTGAGCTTGCTGGGATGTATAAGCTCGGTGGCGGCGGGATGACTTCACTGGCCCGGGCAATTCTGGATGACTACCGCGGGCATGTGTTGTTTGACACCGTGGTTGAAAAGGTAGAGCAGCAAGGATTGACTGTCGTGGTGTCCACGAAGGACGGACAACGGTTCGAGGCCAAATACTGTATCTCAACTCTTCCCTTGTGAGTACTCTCTACTAAACTCGAGTACTTGAGATGCTGACGACATAACCAAGGAACTGTCTCTCAGACGTAACCTTCATGCCACCACTTTCACCGCTCAGGATGGAAGCCATCCGGGCAGGCCACATTAACAAGGGAAGCAAAGTTCATTTCCGGCTTGCGAAGCCTGAGCCGGGATGGTTCTCCATGGCGAATGGATACGGGACTTCACCGTGGTGCTTTGCATTTTCAGACCACAACGGCACCACTGACAAAGCAGACCCTGGCAACTTTTGCATCGGATTTGGTTACGGCGCGCACCACATCGATCCGAAGGCGTCTGCTGAGATTATTACGACGTTTCAAAACAACATCAAACCGGGAGCCGAGGTAACAGCTTACCTGACCCACGACTGGGCTAACGATAGCCTCGCCAAAGGCACTTGGAGTTGCTGGGGGCCCAACTCAATGACCAAGTGGCTCAAGGAGCTACAAAGACCGGAAGGAAGGATTCATTTCGCAAGTGCTGATTGGGCTGAGGGATGGCGAGGGTTTGTTGATGGGGCAATCGAGCGAGGGACTGCCATGGGACGGGAGATCGAGACGTTGCTTTCGGAAGACAACGTTGCCGCGAAGCTATAGTGACTAAATGTATTTCAGCGCTGCTATAAATGTTTACATCTACTTATCGAGTGTGTCATAGAGGTCCTCAAGCTAAGCTATGCCTAGCAATAAAGCGCCCACGGACAGCTTTGACAAGCAAGGTGCATGCTGTTCTAGGTTTAATAGTCACATATCCAAGATTCAACAGCTATTAATTTTCCCGGCAGAGAGGCATTGACTTTGATATGTATCTTTATTAATAACAGAGGCGATTTTTCTCATCAAGATGAACCCTACTTTGTTGTACATTAACCGGCCTGCAAACCAACCTTCTTTTTTGGGCAGCTGCTAGGCCTCGCTTTCTCATCTTTGTCTATACCCTTTCGTCGAGTCTTCGTCATGTCCAACGATCTATCGGGCTCAGTTCCGAGACTCCACGTTCTACCCATCCAACGCCGTTGCTTTTTTTTTTGCGAACTTCTAGGCTCCTTTTTTCGTCTTCATTTATTTCTTAAGCATGCCGTCGAAGGCGGGAATGAGGGTCTGTGCAAGCCAGAATGAGAAGACCAGCTTGGGTCCAGTCATGAGGAGCTAAAAGGGGAAATAGAGTGTCAGCGAATGATCTATATGTGCAGAGGAAGGGGAGCTGCTGGCTAGTCTCACCTTGGGAACCAGACCCTTGAAGAAAGCGGTGGCACCCTCGTTCTTCATCATGTTGGAGATGATTCTGAAACCACTTTCGGGGTTCTCAAAGTTGCGGTTCTGGATACGGGTCTTGATGACGTCGAGAGGAGCGGAGACAAGGAGGGAGGCGGAGGCACCGGCGATGGAGGCGATGAAGTTCTGGAACCACGAGGCCTTGTTGTAGTCGTCGAGCTTGAAGAGGTACTCCTTTGTGAAGGCGGAACCACCGAAGAGCTGTTGATGAGAGAGAGGCACAGGTTAGTCACTGCCATGGACCCCAAAATGAGGATGGAATGCGCTTACAGCGAAAGAACCAGGAGCGTTACGGGCAGCGGTCCAGCCCCAGCCTCTGTACAGGCCGAAGCCCTCGTCGGCAACGATTCTGAAGACGCCACGGCCGCGGAAGGCCTCGGGGTTTGTCTGTCTCTTGATCTTGAGGACGTCGAGGGGAAGGAGGACGATTTCTCCGATACCGATCAAACTGTCAAGTCGCGCGTCAGAATATCATGGACCCCACAGATCTCGGTTTCCGAGCTCGCGCAAGGGGACAGAAGAAAGAAAAAAAACTCACCTGCCGGCGGTGGAGTGCATGATAGCCTTGCCAGTCTTCTTGCCGAAAGCGCGCTCAAAGTCCTCGCCGTAGTTCTTGGCCAACAGGTCCCTGGCGATGGGCTGACCGCCATACTTGTATATTCTCTGGAGGACCTTGTAGCCGGCGGCGTATCCCAGACCGGGGAAGAGCGAAACGAACTTGCGGCCCGCTGTCGCGGTAGCCGTGTCCCTGAAGATGACCTTGTTGAGCTGCTCGGTGCCGGAGATCTTGATCGTGGAAACGTGTTAGCTTTCTCGGGGCGTCATGTCGTTGGAGGTTTGCGGAAGGAAAGGCAAGGGAGGGGGTAGCTCGGTTTGGCGTACCTTGGTCTGGTTGCTCATCAAGCGCTTCGCAATGGTGTCGACCTGAGCTTCTTATTAGCTTCTTTTCCCGCAGCCCATTCAATAATCGTAGCTCTTCGCGGCACTCACGGGGTGGAAGACGGCCAATTCAGCGATACCAGCGGAGCCTACAAAACGTCAGCGCGCCGAAGCTTCATGCGCAGGCGCAAGAAAGAGGGAGCATACCGGAGCCCAGGAGTCGCGCGGTGTTCGACTCCTTCTCCCGTCCAGTACCAGCAGTCGGAGACATCTTGATAGGAATCTGCGATAAAGTGCGAAGGGGAAACTACGAATTCCCAATTGAACAGGAGCAAAAAAGGCGGGTTCCAGAGGGTCGGACTGTCGTCAGGTCGTGGGGGGGCACGGATATCAGGAGCAGCTGCAAAAGAGGAGGGTGATTCAAAGTTTTGGAGTCGACAGCTGGGAAATTTTTACTCAACCAGCTTAACTTTTGCTGACCCTGCAGGGACAGGGCCCCCTGGACCGCCGAGCACCGGGAAGTGGAGCCTAGCACGGCAGGGATTGGTTCGCCGCGCCGAAGCAGCTATTACCTACCGACCGGTACGCTAGCTCCAACCGTTCTCGGCCGATCGGGCTGAATTCCGGCTCGGGTTATAGATATGGCTTCATTTGATGCGATCTGTAGACCGTACATTCTCTAAATCATCTCAAGTTAGATCCGTATAACTGAGTACCAGCTGCGGCGAGATAGAGAATCGCCACACTATTTCAGCAAGTTTGGGAAAATTGTGTTCGATGTTGAGACACCGTTGCTGGAATTAGCGACGCTTCCTTTTGATTTTGGGTATCTATCATCCTTTCCCCCTCCCCAATTTTGAGCCATTTCGCCCAATAGCTCCTTGCATATGGCCACGGTGGTGGCACTTGAGACGCTTTGTACGGTTCTATGCCTCAGTCTAATAGTCTCTGAAGACTCCCACTAGTTCGTCCAGTCTCATGACATGGGCGAGAAGTTTGCTCTGCAACTCCAGGTACTTGCTGTACTTGCTGTAGTGTTCGGCAGTCATGACCTCTTCCTCCTTGCCCTTTACGTCCCTTCTCTCGACGAATGACAGAATGTTGCGTTCTCGGTACCGATGCACTTCTAGGTTTTGGAGGCATCGAAGTACTGCTTTGTAGTAGTCGTCGACCAGCTGCGCTTCGGTCCTTTCAATGTCGAAGAACCAGAAGAACATTGTCCGCGTTGCTGTTCGACTGGCATCTCTGGGAACCTCCTGAACATCAACGAAGCCGGCCATCTGCATGGCAAGCATTTTGCCCTGAACCTCTCCCTTCTTCATGAGAGCGAGGGATGGGAGCATTTTTTCGTCCAACTTGCCCTTCTCTCGCATAATTCGAGTCAAACGTAGTCCATGCCGACCGAATGACTGTTCGATGACGGCATCGACCTCTGTCTGTTTGAATCCCTCGATCAATGGCTTGAAATCGACGGTCCACTGACCTCGACCTAGACTGCCACAGTGTCGCAAGAAGCCTTGTCGGCTTTCAGATAAAAGCAGCAAATGCTGCCGCATTTGATCGATACGGCTAGCGCCCGAAACGGGCCCGTCCTCGAATCTGACCTCGCGGGACCCAGAAGCTGTCCGTGGTCCCTCATCTTGGGAATCATCCGAATCACCTGTGCCGTTCATCTGGGGACGAGCAGAAGCCCTCGGAGCCATTGGAGGTTCGTAGTCAGAGTCGTCGGAATCGTACATGGGCTGGCCTGGCTTGTCTCTGACCTTCTCGGCACTGCGAGAGTCAATCTGGTCTGCAGAAGCCTTTCCAACTCCATGAGAGACATCAATGGAGTCGTCGAGGTTTTCGAGTATTTCCAGACTGGTCACAGCGACTTGGCGTGAGTTCGAGCCTGGACCGTCTGCGTCGTTATCAGAGTCGATTCTCGGATCCAACTGACAGCGGGGCACCTGTTGCGTCAACAGCCGTAGAGCCGTGTGGTATACAAGGCCGGTGACTTCTCCAAAAGCATCGGCTGCGTACTGGGCTAGTTTCTGGTTTCGCAGCTCAACGAGACACTTTTCGGTGTTGACTTTGAGAACGATGTGCGACTAGACTATGTGGTTAGCCAGGCAAGAAGGGATCTCATGCAGATGAAGACTCACGTCGAGCTCAGGTACATCGTCATCATCATCATCCCAGTCTGCAGATTGGCTTCGTCCTTTGCCCTTGCCATTTGCGAGCTTCCTCCGCTTGGTCGGAAACATATTGCCTCGTCCGAGTTGTCGCTTCAACTTTTTGCTCTCGTCGCGTGCCTCTCGGAGTCTTTTCGAAACTTCTGTTTGCATGAGTTCTTTGTTCCGGGCTGTCGCTCGCTCGCCAGGGGCCGTTTTGGTGACCTCCTCTTCGATTTCGCGGTAAACGTCTTCAGGGTTTCTGAACGTCTTGGGCCCGACCTGATCAACGATTTCCGCCACGATCAGACGATTCAAGACAGCATGAAGCTCCTGAGCCGAATGCGACGGCCCATGCCCGTTGACCTTTGCTTTAGAGCCGTTGCCATTGACATGACCGTTCGTCGCATGGTCACCGTTGAGACCTGCCCCGTTCCTCCCCTCGAAAGCCTGCAAGAGATCCGATACCCTGGCGTGGCCGAGCTGCATAATAGTTTGTACAATCTCCTGCTCCGCGGGACCAAATTCGGTGCCGACCATCTCGATTATCTTTCCAGCTCGGATAATGTTATAACACCCATCGGGATTCGCTTCATATGTGCCGATCTTGTTGTTGGAGTCGGACTCGTGGTAAATGAGGCTCTGCTGAACGAGGAGGGCTAGGCCATGGCGCAGCTGCCGCGGAGTAAGACCTGTGGTCTGGATAAGTTGAGCAATGGTAGACCTGCCCTTGCTAAATAGTACAGCCAGGATTCGCTGGAACAAGAGCACTCGTCAGTATGGCCTTTTGAGGGTACATAACGCCTGAAAGATGCGATTGTGTTGCGCCGTCTTAGACATGGAGATTGTGTATAGAACCTACTGCAGGTAGCTCGCCGCATATGTCGTTGACGAGGTGAGCGCAGAGCTCCGCGCCATGCTTGGTCTGGCGGAGGAGTTAGAGAGATGGCCATTTCAGCTTGATCAGCGCGATGCGAAACATACCACCAACATCGCGAAACTTGGATTCAGGAATCAATCGACTCTAGAGATCCTCTCAATATCCCTAGAGCTGCCACACAAGCTACCGAGAAGTCATTGAGATAATAAAGTGCCGTGTGCTGGGTATTGAACAAAGCACTTGGCCACGGATGATTTTGTCGCAATGAGGGTCGCGCTCTTCAAGTGGTGGAGGGACTGAAATAAAAGTATGGAACTTTTTTTCTGAGCGGCGGGCCACCTAAGGCGGGGTGGGGGACAAAGTCGATGGAAAGCGCCGAGTCACCGACAGAGTCATGGAGGCTGGAGCTC